TAATAATGGAATGAGCGGAGGAAACGTTCGACGTTCTGAATTTGAAAGAGATAATAGGATAAACAGGAACTTTCCTTCTATATCATCCGGTTCTCCGGGTTCAAGCATAAGTTCTGGTCGGTGGGGTAACGAATGGGTTAATAATGGAATGAACGCTCCAGTCAATGATCGCTTTGATGATAGGAGAATTCGGGGTGGGAGGTTAAGTGAACGTGGAGGAGGTAGAAGTGGTCCCATGGTTGTTAATCGTGGTTCTGGATATTCTGATGTTAGGCCTGGGAGACGTCAACGGTGCCGTGATTATGATGGTGAGCAAAGTTTTGACATTTACAACAAGTATTGTATTTTGTAATTCATAAGCTTATTTTTTTATTTACAATAACAGAAAAAGGTTATTGCATGCGTGGTGACCTTTGCCCCTTTGACCACGGCGTAGATAGAATTGTTGTAGATGACGTTCCATTGAATAGACCATTTGACATTATACCTCCAATGGCTGGTACTCCATTAACTGGACCAGTTGGTATAATGAGTGCTGGCGTTCCTTCGAGGCCACCGTACTTTATGAGTACTGCGGGTGTTCGAAATCAATATGATCTTGATCCAGGATATTGTAAATATAAAAATTAAAATTTTTTTTTTACATTTTATCAATTATTTATTTATTATTCTTATTTTTTTATTTAGCCGGTCAAACCTCAAGATCAATGACACCAACAGCAGATGCTTACGATCCGGAACGTGCTACGTTATCGCGTCCAGAAGAATTGATTTCTGTGATTGAACCAAAGGAGAATGACGCATCACAAACGTCTCCTGAAGCCGCTGTAACCGAATCAACTCTATCGTTATCATCAGCACAAAACGTTCCACAATTCTTAGATTCAAGTGTCAGCATTTCTACTTCTAGAGGTACTACATTTAGAGGGCGAGGTCGTTCTCGTGGAAATCGTGGAGGGTTTAATGCTAATAATAGATATGGTACTAGTGCAAATAAAAATGCGACATTGGTGGTTGAGAATATACCGAAAGAATTCTGTACGCTTGATAAAGTGAATGAATTCTTTAAAAAGTTTGGTACTATTACCAACATCAACATTGATATTAACTATAACAAAGCCATCATTCAATTCAGTAATAGTTCAGAAGCATATAAAGCTTATAATTCTCCGGAGCCAATTTTTGATTATCGATTTGTTAAAGTATATTGGTATAAGGAGAAAGAAGAGCCACAAACTTCAACTTCCACAATACCAAAACCAGTTTCCCCTGTAAAACCAGATCATACCATTGCTCAACCAGAAATTTCACCTCCAGCTAATGCAGCTGAAAAGAAAGAGGCTGAAGAAAAGGCTAAAAAACAAAAGGAAAGTCTTAAGGCAATGCTTGAGATTCAAAAACAAAGAGAGCAATTGATCAATAGACAGATTGAAGAACAAAAGAAATTGATGGAACTTGCTAAAAAGAAAAATGTAAACTCCAAAAATCGGGAAGAAGTTCTTAAAAGTTTGAGCAAAGTTTCTGAAGATATTAAGAAAGATTCGAATGTACCTGTTCGAAAACCTTCTTTGAGCGGAGCTATTCATCCAAAAAGTTTATTGGAAGAAAAAGAAAGGGAACAGTTAGATAGAGAACTCGATATTCTAAGCAAAATAAACGAGAATAGTGCTGCGAATGAACCTTCAACTTCAGCAGCGTCATCTGTCGCTAACGCACAATCCAGTACT